TGGTGTCAGGGAGTAACATTAGGTTTTAAAAGTACAGAACAAGTAATCACTAGCAGTATGTTGGAAGGATGGGAAGAAGTAGACTGGATCTAGGGTTGCAATAAGAAAGAAAAGTGGGCTGAGACATCCCAGAAATAGAACCAATCTGAATGATGTGAAAAAAGGAAGAATTGAAGGTAAAGGATTCAGAAAGAGACTTAGGTTTCAGGGCTGGGAGATGATGACTACTGGTACAGACGGGTTACATTTAAGATGCCTGCAGGACATCTATGTACAGCAGACAAATATGCTGCCATTATTATATTTCATTCTCCACATGACTACTGTAGATCACTTGTCCCCTGAAAAATCTGGCTTTGCCCTTCCCCTCCCTTCCTATCTGAGTTGAAATTCCTGTCTAATGTTTAAAGACCCCACAATCATCCCACCTTTCTCAACTCTAATCCATTACTGCCAGTCTTAATGACCCATTCTGGTATACTTAATCTATTTTGTGGACTCAGCCTTTTTTTTTTTAAATACTTGCCATCTCTAGGAAGCAGCCTTAACTACTTAAAAACAGCAAGACTCCTCCCACACAGAACAAAAAGGTGTATTTTTATAAACTGTCATATATACAGTCTCATGGCATATACACTATCTAGATCATAAACTGTCAAAATCAGACACCTTGTTTCTCTGGAGTGCCAAGCACTCCACTGGTACTGAGTAAATAACAAAGTAAAGACTACACAGAATTGGTCTTTTTATTTTCAGAGGCTACAAGAAAATATCTTGAGGGTAATACTCAGAATATTCTTACATAGTATGTGTATCGAATTTTTGTCCTAAAAACTAACAATGCTATTAACAGAATATATTAATAAGAGTCTGACTATGTACTACATTCAGTAATATTTCCATCTTTATTAGAAAACTAAGCTCTAATCACTACATTTTAAAAATGTGATTTTGGGGTTAGGTAGCTTAAAATGCAGTCTATTATAACCTAGTGATTAAGAGTTCTGGCTTTAGAGTTAACTGGTCCTGGATTCAAATTCCAGCTCTGCCACTTACTGCCATATGACCAGTCAGGTTACTTAACTTCTCTGAGCCTCAGCTTCCTAATCTGTAAAGTTCCTATCTCTTCCTATTTCACAGTATGATCATGAGGATTAAAAAGGATCATGTAAGAAAAAAAAAAGGATCATATAAAGTACTTAACCCAGTCTCTAGCACATATTAAGTGTTCAATAAATGTTAGCTATTTCTGCCACTGGAAAAAGCAGGAAAAATGTTCAGAGGATTTCTTAAGACATGTGAGTAAAATTTAGTTTGAAAGAGGGAAAGTTAAGGAATGGCCTGAGGATAGTCATCAGGTACATGAAGGACTTTTCATTTTTAATATAGAAAGGACCAAATACTTCTTTTACTGGTAGGAGACAGACCTAGAATAAATGGTTTTAAATTACGTGAGATACTTGAGTTATACAAAAGAATGAATTTCTCAACTGTGAAGAGTGTTATATAATACTGATCTTGTTTAAGGTTACTTGGGTAGAAATGCAATTTCTTGATACATTTTAAAGTAAGACAGACAAAAATCTCTTACATGGCTTGTAGGTAATCTTGCTTAAGGGGAAGAAAAGTGAACTAAATGACCTTCTCAATTCTCTCTGTTGTTAAGAGTCTGCGATACCTGACACAGGTACCAATTAGAACAGTAACTATCTGATGCAGATACTCCTAATGATCTCACCACCTAGTTTCATCCAACAAGAGTATGTGCTTCAAATATACTCCTCTCGAGTGTTTCCTTAAAAAAAATGGAAACAGTGATGAGAACTCATAATTTTACTTGGAAATTTGCATTTCTTGGCTAGATGGCTGGAGAATAAGAGTGTATGGTACAGATGTGGTATCTCTATATATGGCTTCAAGAGAAACTAGAAACCATTCTGGAAAAATATGTATCTGTCTTAAATGCAAAAACAGAGCCTCACATTATAAAAACCTTAGTACACTGGCAAATGTTTTTTGGTCCATCTTGGTGCTGAAATGTGGTGTAAAAGAGATGAATATATATGTCCATGTGGAATGGCTTCCCTCCCCTGATCCTTGTGGCTGACATGAAAACCCTGGAAAATGGTCTATGGCATCAAGAACACAGAAACGTGCCACCTGTACATCCTGCTCTACTCTGACTTCCCATCCTCTCAAGACGCTGACTCATCTGGCTACTTACTTACGTTCAGCTCAAACCCCAGCCTCTTCTGTCTATACTTTTCATTGGGGCAAGTGAGAATTTCTGGAGCCAGCACGAGATACAGACTGGAACCTGTCTTAAATGTACCCACGGACCAGCGCCCCTGTTTTTGATTATTTTCAGTGGGTGTTCATGACCTACTTCTCACCTAGAAATCTGGATGAACAGGAGCCAGGGAAAATAGGCTCACAGGATAAAATGCCTTAAAAAGTCAATTAGGGAAGGTGATTATCTAGTTTATATGTAGTTTATCTACTTACATGAAGCTCTTTTTTTCTCCCTTTCTATTAGATTTATGAACCTTTTATTGCATAGACAAATCTACACAGGGAAAAGTGAAAAAAAGAAAACTGAAATCTAGAATTTTGGTTACTTGATAGTACTTTATGTAAAATGACATAATGGAAGGGGCAAAACTAAAGGCTAAAAAGAGACTTAAAAATTATTTCAACATTAAACCTATAAATGCTACTCTAGTCCTAGCCCCTAGGTAAGTTATTTAAATCCCAGCATTTTAAGAGAAGGAAAGGGAGAAAACCATATACCCAGGCTCAAAAGTTCTCTCCTTCTGCCACTATTCCTCAGTGACGGATGCCCACAGTCTCAAAAGGGCCTCAAAACACCTTTCCTTAAGGTAACGTTTTCTTTTAGAGCACTGCTTAGTTATGCAACATCACTGTTCAGTAAGTAGTGATACAGCATTATCCATTTACTGTTGGTGAAAATACAAATAAGTTAATGACTTGTCTAAAGTTACATAGTGTCAGTGGCAGAGTTACTGAGAAACAGGCCTCATGACTTCCCAGCCGAGCATGCTTTTCATTAGCCCACAACAATATGAGCAGCATCTTATTGTTACTTACAAACAATAACTATAATGGTAGCTACTATTTATCAAGACTTAACCATGTGCCAGGCACCGTGCTAAGCCCTATAAAGTCTCTTTTAATTCTTACAGGATCCCTGGGAGGCAAGTGCTATTGTTATCTCCTTCTGGCAGGTGAAGGAAATATGGTCTAGAGAAGTAAATACCTTGCCAACGGTCACCCACCTAGTCAGTGGCAGAGCTGGGATTCAAATGTAAGTCTTACTATAGCTTGTGGTCTTAAGCCCCAATATTATCCTACTCCCTAGATCGAGGAACAATATTTAGTTATTTATAACTCACTACACTTGTGGGAAAAAATTAACTCTCTACACCACACCATTAAAAATTAAACAAAACAATTTATAACAATGAAATCTGTACAAAATTCTGATGCTTTGTGCACAAACAGGTCCAAATAAATTAAATCTCCATTGAATTTAGCAATACTACCAGCTGTATGCTGCTGCTTTGTATAAAACTAGGCATTGCATTTGTTAATAACACAGTAACATTAGGGACCAAAACTGCTCCTGTTCTGACTAGAGCAACCATGTTAAGTAACAAGAATGCTAACAAGTCAGGACATAGAAGCAGTTTCCAGGAATATTCATAATGCCAAGAAATAAATAATGAGGTGATCAGGTTTACAGTACAACAAGTTTCAAGTAAATAGTATTCTTTATTTGTATCTGAATTTGTTTTTAAGGATTAGGAAATAAAAACATAGTGTTCTGGTTCTCAAAACTCAGCAAGCCACAGTAACATGAAGAAATCTAAAACCACCGTTTTTTAAATCAGATTTTTTTTAATGGAGCATTCTATTGCTATCTACAGTTTTGGGGTGGGGAAGATAAACATTTTCACAGCTAAGGTCTCACTACAGCAAAACCTGACTTCTGAATACCCATTTGTGCCAATCCTGATTCTAGGGTTCGAGACTATTTATCCTAAAAGAAATCCCAAATGTTATCTTTGAACTTCTTCATATTGTCCCCCCCAATACCACAAAATGGACTACTTTTCAAAACAGATTGTTCCTGATATCAAAATGATAGCTCCCCCATCCCACCAGATTATTTGTGAAATAAGATTACTCAGTGTGTAAGAACATAGATATATGTTCAGCCAAATCCATCTTTAAAATAATGAAACACTTGAGAGTGAAGCTACTGAAGGTATTTACAGATGTAACTTCAATAAAGATCTCGGGGGAAAAAAATAACCAAATGAAAAGAAACTGTTTCAATGTAAACCATAATGTATCAAATACCAAGTGAGATGATACTACTTTTCCAACATAGCAATATAGTATCTTGCCAATTTGGTTACTTGGTAGTGAAGGCAACTGCAGGAACATTAGCATAGCTTCAGAAAAACTGTAAAATTCACCAAAGATATCCAAAGTCATAAATGCTGTGTTACATAGCCGAACCACGGTAAAATACACTGTTCAGCAATTGCTAACATTTTCCTATTGAAAGGGGTCTGTCCCTATCTTCCTTTGTAATGATCACAATTACTTTATCATGGAAGATGAAAACATATCAAATTTAATTATGAAAATATACCTGAATGAAGACTTTAGTACATGAGGCACTCAAATTAAGTAAACTGATTGTTTTCTAAGTCAACACAGCCTCCAAGATTTTAATTCTTTTTGAAAAGAAAAAAAATTTGAATAATATAAATATGATTCATTCCTTTTTTGTTGAGTGGCAAATAAAAGTTAAACACAACCTTACAATTTGCTGATTTTGGGGAAAAACTAAGACTGCAATAAAAAAAATTACACTCAGTTAATAATGCAATACACTCTAAAATAAGCAATTTCCTCTTTAATGAGCTTAAAGTAAGTTTTATTCTCAAGAGGCAGAAATACCAACTTACCAGCTTCGTGCCTCTTTTAATTTCCTTTTGGACATCTTCAATAGAAAATCCACCAAGACTTTCGTTATCAGAGTGTGATGATACCAAAGCAGATGAAAAGAGCTATAAATTACATTTAAAAAAAATTAAGGTTCACATATAAAGAAATTACAGAGAAACAGTGAATAAGATGTCAAATTTAAAAGGAAATATTCGAGTAAAACTGGCATAGCATTAGTGAGAAACCATTTCTTAGAAATTTGACTGGCTTTTTCTTTTCTTTCTTTTTTTTTTTTAAGTATTCAGGAGTATTCATTGTTAAGCCTCTTATGGTTTCAGGTCTCTTGGTTGCTGCCCATATACTTACCATGCACTTATGGTGTGCTGCCACCTTCTGGTTTTCAGATATTAGTAACTGTCCACATTCCTTGTCTCTATTTGACTTACAAAAGCCACATTTGCGCTGTCTTGTAGGCCCTTTTTTCTGTTCAACTGAGCTTGACATGATTTTTAAATTGCCTTTAGAATGCCACTTTATGCCTCAAGAAATGCTACAGAGAACAAGAAGGGCAACAAAATGGTTAATTTTGTTTTAAAATCAGTTTACGCATAGTCATGTAAGTTGTTTAATATGTGACCTAAGTTTTAATATATGCATCTTAAAATAGCTATTTAGTATAGACATATTAATATTGAGACCTAAGATGCCTCTGTAATTAAAAAAATATGTATTATGTATGCATAAACACAAATTAATGAAGTAACTGAGAAAAATCAAACTGCTCTCAAATTAGGGGATATCTGAAATAATTAGAACTAGCTATGCATAGATAAATAAAACATGTACAATGTGTGATATTAAAATAATCATCTGCTGATATAATTAATGAAAAACATTTTTCATGTTTAGCTAGGTGCCCCTTCCAGGAGACAGAATTATATATCTAAAAGCAGTGCAAAAACTACTCAGAGAACTACACATTATCCTGAGTGAATGGAATTCTGTAATTGTACTATTCCATAAAGCTCACATATTGATAATCCAACAACAAAGAAATGAATTTGCACAACCATGATTTTGGAACAATTATTTTTGAAATCTGAATTATTTTCAAGTTTAAAAAATCATATATACGTCTTTGTTAAATTTTGCTATTGTAATCCTTTTGTAAGTAAAGAAAAAAATTAAGCTTTATAACAGTCTATTCAAAAATGCAGGCTTTAGGTACCATTTATTTCTAAAAACAAACTATACTATCTGAGATTTACTCCAAAAGTCTGCTTATTAAAGTTACAAACTGACACTGTTCTAAATGCAGTAACTTTCATACTTAAATTAGTAATACTGTATAAAGAAAGGAAAATTTTTCTGAATGAGTCTTAAATTAGTCAAATTATAATTATAGGTAGTATAGTCAAACAAAAAAAGGAAGAAAAGCTCTAACATGGAAGGTTTCAGATTGAGATCATCAATCTCAACATGGATTCTTCAGAAGAATCTAAACAAATGTAATTCCGCTATTTGATTTGTGTAGTTTTCCCAAATCAACAGAACTAAGGAGCTCAGGACCCAGGCTGCCACAGCACACACTTCAATCAATAAAATCTCATTTTTTTTGTCTTAAAATTTACAACATTTTTTCATTTCCCCACATATTTGAACATTTTCATAATACTATGTTGAAAAAATTGGTCTCACTAACACTACATTGGAGCCTTCTCAGAAGCACTTGTTCACCAGCAGGAACAGCAGCAGCTGGGTGCCAGCAAGGGGTTAGCTGCAAACCATTCAGTGCTTTACAACATAAAAATGCAGATACTTAAAATTTAACATGAAGCCACAAAGAAGCAGGTCTTCGCATCAATGTATATCTAGGTTTTTCTTTTTAGTGAAACTTCAAAGGCCCTGACAGTGTACGTTGATAGGTTTAACATACTCTTAATGCTATCTACAATTTTAAATACCTCACTTTTCCAAATGGCATCGGATACTTTACAACAGTACTGTATTCATAGCACTGGCTATAAACCGTGAAACTGATTGAAAACAGGCAGCAAATACTTTTAGGATTAAAGAAAAAAAAAAGAGAACATAACAGAGAAACAAAAGAAACAAAAGGGGAAGTGTGTTTGCATTTGCTCAGGCAAATATGTGTTCAGTTGCTTTATCAAGAATATAGCTGCCAAAATCTTTAGAATTAAATATGCAAAACATCAAAATTCATAAATAGCACCAAAATTTGCTATTTGAGTTCTAAATTAGCTTTCTTTACTACTATGCAATGAACAGTAAGCACTCTGAAACCACTGTAATGTATTCATCAGTTCTCCCGGTCATCCTTGGCCAGTTGAAAGGATGGCACATTACGAACCCCATCTAAAAGGGCATCTTTAATATGTAATTTGGTATGACCCTCGCATAATCTATAAAACCAGCCTAAAATAAAGTGAATTCCTAGATTAGAAAATCACTTTTTGTTCTTGAAATTAATTCTGAAAATGGTGTCCCCCAAATTTTATCCATATTGAATTCTGCCTCTTTCCATTTATAAACAGGTAAATTTCTCATCCTAATTTTCAGAACCTACCTTTCTACATATCAAAAATCTCAAAATCTAAAAGAGAAAAAAAGGTACATTCTGTTTTGCATTAAAAAATATTCTAGTGTATTTTTTCTGTAATCAGTTTGAATATAATTTGTAAAGTGAACAGAAACACACACAAAAGTGCACCAAATCAATTAAAAACTTTCCCCAATGTGCAATGACTAAATGGATTTTTCCACTAAAATTCAAATAATGCATCTGTGCATATCTTGCTAATTTTTTTTACAGCCTCCTTGTAAAACATGAAGTGGAGAACATCATGGAAACAATGACTCCTAGCAAAAATGTCTTTATCATAAAAATACAGATTTTTTTCTAATGCTGTCACATTTGTGTTCTCTACTTAAGGAGAATAAGGGCATTCCAAGGACCAGTATTAAGGGGTTCATAATGATCCACAGAATACATGGCATTTTAATTCTAGCCTAAAAGGTTTGTCAGGGCACGCAGGGATCAAACTTTGATGCTTTCGCCCAACAATAAAACCTTTTCCTTAAAAGAAACGTAACATTATGGATAATGTTATAAAGCAGAAATACAGAGGCAAGGATAACAGCGTGAGAAACATAATTTAAATGTCTGAAAAAACATAAAAGCCCAATTAGTTAGGCTAAAGCAATCAACGCATTTCTGATTTTCCAAGATGCTGTAAGGCACCAAGGTGGAAATAACCTGAAACATCAAGGAGAGCATTCAAGAACCAACTCATTCAATGTCTGGTTATCTGGAAGACCATTTTCACAGAAAAACAAAACAAAACAAAACAAAAAAACCCTGCAGTTCCGGAAGATCCAATTCCACACGCAAGCAAGTCAAAATATACAGATCAAAATATATAAACATGATCCAAGAAGCAGTATTTCTGTCAGGAAAGTTACACTGGGGAGAAATAAACGAATGAGAGATGAACCGGAAGGGCACCTGAATTTGGTTGCACGATATTATTACATGCTTCGCACTGCTTTTTGCGGTTATTCAAAAGGAAACTGAAGGAATTTTCCAGTTGTTTCAAACCCAAGGGTAGAGAAAGAATTTGAACTGTATGAATAAGACCTGATATTATATAGGAAGCCGGTAAAATTAAAATGGTTTTCAAAAATAAAGGATTTTTCAACTTCCACGCAGAATATCGAAACGAACAAATTTCAAAAGAATGCCGTGCTGTTCGTTCATATAATAAAGGATGGTACACATAACGTACCGGATCCTCTCCGTTATTTATTCCTTAATACACACTAGACTCCAAGATCTCCCTCTAATCAAGCGCTAGATAAACTCGCAAAAACTATCCTCCTCTAAAACACTTTAGCAGGTTCCTTTCGGCCGTAAAGTCAGGGTACCCTAATTGTCCTTTTCCAATCCTCCTGGATCCAGGAAAATATCACCCTACCACTTTCCTGAACCCTCCTCCCCCCAAGAGTTCGCCCTCTAGTAGTCTTCGTTCCCTATCGCAGTTTCACCCCTAATTCCCCCCACCCCGGAGTTTTTCCTCATTCCGTAAGGGTAACCTTCTTGCCATCCTATCAGTCCTTCCTCTTACTCTTCCCAAACTGGGAGTCTCCCTCCTTCCCAAATATGTCCTAAGCGATGGCAAAGACTAAAAATTCCCAGTATTTTTTCCTCCTTAAATGTTGCGCCCCCTCCCCCGAAGTCTAGGCAGAAGCCTAACCTCTCCCTTGGCTCCTCCGAAGCACTTTTCTCAGCAGCCTCTTTGCCAAGCGCCTTCAATGAACGGCGCTTCTGGGGTCCCTGACAATAAAGCGAGACCACCAAGAGTCCCCCTTAACAACGGGCAGGGGCGGCGGCCTGGCCACCGCCATCCTCCTTGTCTTCTCCCGCCGGGCAGAGAACGAGGGGCCCCAAGGTACCGTGGGGACTCACCGGCGGGGCCCAGAGGCGAACGGCAGAGGACAAGTGCCAATGAGGGGAAAGAGAAAGAAGTCGATCTCGGTTCTCCAGCAGCGCCTGGGAGCGGGGCTCTGTCGCCGGAGGTTGTTTCCTTTCATTCGAGGAGAGACGGGCTCGCGGAGCGCCCTTACGTCGCCCCCCTCGCACGCAACGACTCACTGAGCGTTAATACGTCTCGAGCGCGCCGCGGGCTCTGATTCGCTGCAGCGAGGGGGCAGCTGGAGCCACAGACACGACGCATGTGCAGAAGCCACCCCCGGTACGGATCGGGGCGGCAGGCCCCGCCTCCTGCTCGCGCGCGTACCTTCTATTCTCCCGTCCGCGGCTCAGCCAAGTGTTTGGGGGCAGGATCCGAGGAGATAGAGAAAGAGATTCAAAGATATCGCTGTGGGTTGGGCGGAGAAGGGGCTGGGTTGGAACTAGAAACCGTTGGTCAGGGGCCCTGGGTAACCAGTTTTTAACAGTGATTCAAGTGGGTAGGCCTTATCCCTTGCACTTGTTCACCGAGGCCTTTTCACATCCATTATTTCATTGTACTCTCGTGGCATCCCTTTGAGGTCCTCCGTTCTCTCGTTTTACTGCCAGGAAAGACTGAGAAGCTCGGAGTGGAGTCAGTCGGCCTGGATTTCAATCTTTGGGGGAATCATTTTCACCTCTGTGCCTTACATTTGTGTCTTTAAAGTGGGGATAAAAATAGTATCTCACGGGTTTATTTGTGAGGAAGAAATGAGATAATGCAAGCAAACCGTGTATCAGCGTCCCTGGCATATAACAGGCCCTCTAAAAATTCTGAGGTTATCATAATCAGAAAAGATAAGTTATTTTCTTAGAAATTCTCACAGGTAAACCCGACACCTAAACTGAGCGCTTTCCTCTTTGATGTATGAAGCGAGACTGCTGGGGTTTGAATCTCAGATCCCCCACTTCTAGCTCTATGACCTTGAGCACGTTGCATTACTTCTCTGTTCCTCAGTTTCAAAACATCCAAAATGGAGATCACAATGGTATCCATCTCATAAGGTTATTAAGAGAAATGAGTTAATATATGTAAGTCACATGGAATAATGCTTCCGCACATAGTATGCCCAATGTAAGGGTCAGCTTTTGTTATTTTCTACTGGGCTCGCAGACTGCAAGCCAGTGGTTTTTAATAAAAAAAAAAAAAAGCCGTAACAAACCAATTACATTTTAAAGATGCCCTTCAAATAGCTATTTTTTTCTGTTTAAAAAAAGAGGGGGGAGGGGGAGCCGTGGATTTCCATTGTTTTGATCCACTGCTGTTTCTCTGCTGTTTCATCATTTTTTTTTTGCCTGCAATGTCAACATTAAATTGTAATCTCCAAGAAAACAGTAACCATGTTTGACGTAACAGTAACCATGTTTGATGTAACATTGTATCCCACACAAACAGGTACCTATTAGGGGGAAAATGCAGGCATTTCGCTGTACGGGACTCTTAGCCCTTTCACCAGGCCCTGTACCCGCAAAAGGGAGTGGCTGGAGATTTACATACGAAGATCCAGAATGTGTATTCCAAATATTTAACTGTGTGTTTGAAAGGCGCCCCACTTTCCGCCAGCATAATTTTCCACCAGCTTTACACACTGATATCAGGATGAGACTGATGATCGTGTAAGTGACAAAATATAGTGCCCGTGCAGTATGTCATTCTTTAAGATTTCCTCGCAAATCCCCACATTTTGCTATCTTTTATTCATTCTTTCATCTATGCATTCATTCCAACAAAATTTGATTCAGTGAACATCTGCACAACTACTAAGTCCCAAACCCAAGAGAGACATAGATCATCTCAACCCCTGACCTTGAGCTCATGGTCTAAAGAGAGAGACAGACAAGCAAACAAACACAGTATGATGTGATAAATGCTATATTAGGTGTATGCCTGCTACAGACATCCTCTGCCTATTATGTACAAAGCGTTATGCTAAGGTACAACACAACAGTGACTAAGACACAGCCTTTGCCCTCAACTGTTTACAGTCTAACAGGGAAAAGACAAATAGCTATGATAGGAGATGTACTGCACCAAGTGCCTGTAAAGGTGGAAAGGAAATGCGGGGAGAGTTCAAGAGAGGAAGTGATCTGTGACTCCAGTTAGTTTCGGGCCCCAGGTTTGATTGCCAGTTCCAGTTAGCATGACTGATGCAACCTGTTATTTCAAGGACTATGGAAAGGAATCAGACTGTGATAACGTGCTCTTAACAATGCCTGAGGATATAGCCTCGAATCTCTTAATCTCTTCTTAATTCACCAGTACACTCCCACCAACACTCTTTCTTTTCCTTTCACTTTTTCTTCAGACTCTAGATCCAGCTTTTTGTATCACATTCTCAGCAAAGGCCTTAATTTCCTGACTTATTTAGAGTAGGGCCATCTGAGCTAAGCTACTTTATCTTGTACACCTATCCTCTCTGGCTTCCCTTCAAGATTCAGAGAAAGAATGTCCTTCCTGCTTTTTAAAGCTAAAGCTGTGGTTTTAATCACATCTTTTCTGGGGAGGAGCTGATTCCCTCACTCTCACCCCCAGCAGCATCAATTGCCTGCTCTCATTCACCTTCAGACACATAGGATTCCTCTACCTTCACTGCCAGACTGTGTTCTTTGCCCCCAGTTGCTCTCCAATCATTCACTGAGCAGGCATTTGCAGATACTTTCTGTATGCCAGGTATTATGCCAGACACGGGACATTTGAAAAAGAGTAAGACACAGCTCCTGCCTTCAAGGAATTCTCAGTCTAACGAGAAAGAAAAACAGGTATTTCTAATGAGAAAGAAAAACAGAATTTCAGTACAATAGGTGGAATGCTATAATAGAATTACATACCATGAAGACAGATGGACTCTGTCCAGCAGAGCAGGAAATACATCCCTGGGGAGGAAATGTTCTGAGTTGAGTCTTAAGAGATCGGTCCAGGCCCAGAAAAATCTGGATCCCATCTTCATGACTTTTCTCCATCTTCATTCTTGACACCTCTGTGACATTTGACATTTTAGGCCATTTACTTGTTCTTAAAACTTTCATCTTCCTTGTCTCATAACATGGCCTCTGACTCTGACTCTCTGGCTGCAACTTCAGTCTCTTTTGTAGGTTTCCCTTCTCCTCACTTTATAATGCAGACTTCTCCCTAGACAGAGTCCTAGACCCTCTGCTGGTCTATTGTTATTCCAGCCCGGCCGATCTCAAACTTTAGAAGTGAGAATTACCTGGGGAGCTTGTTAAAAATGCAGATTTTTCGGCGCCACCTCCTGGGGATTCTCAAGTTTAGGTCCAAGAATCTGCCTTATTAAACTGACCAGATATTCTGATGCAGATCTGTTGAGGACCACACATTAAGAAACGGCCCTCCGTTCTTTTTTGCAGAATCGATACAATCTCTTGACTTTCACTAGCCTGTAAACAACCATTTAGCAACTGCAACTGCTCTGCTTAGATCAGCCCTGTACTTGAGCTGAAATCACTGTCTAATACAAGCAAATTCATCCTCTCCAGTGACTAAAAGGCAATTTTCCCTCTTCTTCAGTATTTTTGTGTAAGATACTGCTAGTATTTCTGCTCCTGCCTAAATCGAAGGCTAAATTCACCTACGTGCCTGTCACCTCCCTTCTAGCTATAATCAACACCAGTGCATTATAAATTCATTCATTCAGTGGAGACTGATCACCTACTATGTGTTAGATAAACATGGGTATGGTCCATCTCGATGTGGTGGGGGAGGCAGACCTTAACCAAGTAATCACATAAACCAAAGTAAAATTAAGATTATGACAAATTTTGCACTACTAGTGCAAAAAGAAGCAAAGGTTATTTATATGAAACTGAAGTCTGCTTGCATTTTGTATATTGAATTTTGTATTTATTTTTTATTTTTATTTTTTATTATTCTTGGGGCTTTTTAGGGGGAGAGGTAATTAGATTTATTTATTTTTAGAGGCGGGACTAGGGATTGAACCCAGGACCTCGTACATGCTAAGCATGCCCTCTACCGCTTGAGTTATATCCTCCCCCCTCTTTATCTTTAAAGTGGATGGATTAAGCGTTTTAATGTTTCTTTGGGGGGGAAAAAAAACCCAGAATACTATTTATTTGTGTGAGATGCTGCATAAGAGTCAGAAGACCTGGGTTTGAATTGCTGGCCCACCACTAACTAGTAGAGTTACCTCAGGATATTCGTTTGACTTCTCTGAGCCTCAGTCAAATGAGATTAATAGCAGTTGCAAAGTTATTATGGGGCACAAGGACAGATAATGATTTACGTGAATGTTCTTGCCCCAGCAAAGATGAAAGATAGTTATTTTTTAACGTAACCCTTAGCTTCCACATCATCTGACTGATCTACCTGCTAGTATAGTCTCCCAGCATTTGGCCCCTCTCCTCTTCTACTTAGTTTTTGTTGTTGTTTATTTTTTATCTTCCACGTAGTGTATTGATGGGTTTTATAACATTCTTAACTCTGTCTACCCTATGGAGCTACTCTGGTATCTAACTGAGGAGCTGAGAACCTTGGTAGATTTTGTTGTTGATGTCTTTCTTATATTTAGCAATTTGAAGCTGGGTATGGAGAATGAGGAACAGAAAAGAGAGTAGAAAACGGAGAGCGGGGAAGAGAATGTAATGAAGAATGGAGGGAAGCGTAATTGGAATAGAATGATATCATGTCAAGAATTTGTTAATAATACTGCAGCCCCAGCTCGACCCGAGTGATTCTGGCATAGATATGAAAGGGGGCCTAGCAACTATATTTTCAGTAAGCTTCCCAGGTAAGACTGTGATAGATACAAAATTTGAGAACAACTGACCTACAGCCATCAAGCTGAAAACAAGGGGAAAAACTTACCACTTGGGCATTTCATCACTTATAGCTGAGTGTCCAAGAGACTTCATTCTGATCAATATCATTCTTAGGCGTAATTGTTAGTGAGGACACTTGCTTATAAATGGCTTTGCCATTGGGTCCCAGGTGGCCTTAAGTATCTTTGTCCCTTTCGGCCCTATTTTGGCTGTTTGTTATAAAACATGATCAGATAGGTCTACACTAATCTCATATATTATAATAGTAAGTCTAAAAACTAGAAGAATTATATATGGATAAGATTTGTGAGGAGCTAATATTCACAATGAGATGGAGTCTGTACTGCAAA